TTGGTAAGAGAACACCACTGGTCAGGTGGAAAAAGCACAGACGAAGCTGAATCTGAATCCTGGTACCGCCATTTACTAGCTCTGACTTAGGAAAGTTACCTAATCTTTCGGAGCCTTAGTTTCCTCTTTTATAAAATGGGTAGAATAATATTTACAGGATTGTTGTGAGAAGAAAATAAGATAAAGTGTGTATAGCACATAGCACAGGGCCTTAGCACTGAAGGTGCTAGCTAAATGTCCGTTCCTTTTCTGAAAGACAGGGTTATGTATGGATATAGGCTTAAATCTATATACTTGCGTAAGGCTCTGCAGATAGTTCTTTTGTAACCTGCAGCCATGCAACAGGTAGACTGAGAAAGGATCTCAGGGAGCAGCCTTACTCTCTTTAGCATTTCCTGGCTATGGATGCCAGAATAGTTTCTAGCAAAAATCCTCAGCATCTACTCACTGTTCCTCCTCTATATTTTCATCAGTTACCATCAGTAGTTTCCATTATCTACTCAAATATAGTTTTAAAAATTACTATTTCTAATAAGCTAAGTCAGTTCGCAAGGAAAACCAATCTAAAGAGGATTTTAAGTGAATGGACTCCTAGGCTGATTGAGCTTAAACGGGGCATTTGAGTGGGTCCATGCAACACCATTTAAGAAAAGCACAGAGATGAAATAGCCCCCTCAAACCAGTCCAGTTATTGTCTTGCAAAATGATGGCTACAGAAGCTCCTGATAGCTCTCCATGCTGATTAGCTCTTGGTGCAAGTTGGATGGACAATACATAGCAGACAAGCTAAGGGAAAAGTCACTGGGAACACTTCCCCATTTTAATGTCATTAAGATCACAGAAACCTATAACAACAAATATTAATTGCAAAATAGGGAAGGAAATCCCGATAGTAAATTTTACCATCCTAATTCCACAAATAATTAGCGTTGTGATTTTAGGCTAGTTACTTAACTAAAGTCAGTTTCCTCATGATTTTAAAATCAGGTGCTGATACCTGCCTTAAAGCCTTGTTATGAACAGTCTAGTCTCTCTTTGGTGGTATTCTTGCCAAAATCCATAACCTAATAACGAGAAAACATCAGACAAACCCAAATTGAGAGACATTCTAGTAAATAATTAACCAATCCTCTTCAAAAGTGCCAAGGTCATGAAAGACTGAAAGTGCCATAAATTGGAGGAGACATGACAGCTAAATGCAACACGGGATCCTGGATTTGATCTCAGACCAGTAAGAGACTAGTGGAAAAACTGGTGAAACTTGAAATGGGTCTTTAGCTAGTATTGTTCCAAATTTATTTCTTGGCTTAAATCACCGTATTATGATTATGTAAAAGGAAGCTTGGTTGGGCGCCTGGGTGGCTCAGCTGGTTGGACGACTGCCTTCGGCTCAGGTCATGATCCTGGAGTCCCGGGATCGAGTCCCGCATCGGGCTCCCTGCTCAGCAGGGAGTCTGCTTCTCCCTCTGACCCTTTTCCCTCTTGTGCTCTCTATCTCTCATTCTCTCTCTCTCAAATAAATAAATAAAATCTTTAAAAAAAAAAAAAAGGAAGCTTGGTGAAGGATGTACAGGAAAACTGTGTACTAATTTTGCAACTTGGTAAATCTGAAATTATTTTAAAAGAAAAAAAGTTAAAAAAAGGAGCAATTGTTTGAAAAGCCTAGTCATGAGAACTGAATACAAGAACAATAATTTAATACACTGCCTAGTTTTGTTTTTTGTTTTTGTTTTTTTGGTTTTTTTGGTTTTTGGGGGTTTTTTTTGCAGGGATGATTCCTTCATCTAATGGCTAAACTTGGTAGCCATTAACATTGGGAACGGTATGTTAATATTGGCCACACCCAGCTTGGGACAGCTAACCATAAAGTGTGTTGTTCAACTGCAACATAATGTGGACATTTTACACTGAATGATTACAAATATTCTTGCAAAAGTCTACTAACCATCAATATTTCACTCTTGGTACAACACCATCATAATAAGTTAGGGCTTCAAGAAGGGTCGATTCTATGTTTGGCCAATGATGACAGGCTTAAATTTACCTAATGCCATCAGTATTTAAATGTAGCATGTCAAATCTTCATTCCTCTGACTCTGTGACTACTCTCATCTTGTCAAATGTCAACAGTTTTTTGCGAGGTAACACCTGGCAAAATAAACCGCTTTCACATAAATTGTAGACAGCTCACAATGAGTACGGCTTGAAACACTGTCATTCCTGATTTCTATTTTTTATTTTAAACTTGAGCCCATCTCTAGCCTTGAGGGGCAAAAGCCTGCCTTTGAGATAACTAAACGTCCTCAATGCCAACCTTATTACTCAAGATTTTTTTTTTTAAAGAAAACATTAAAATAACCTAGTAATCACAATACTTTATCAGTCATAGTTTCCAACACAGCACTGCTTTGGCCCACCCACTTTTGCCTCTCACCTCAAGGAGTAACTGTGTAACCAAACTAGTAACAAGCAACTTGTCTATTTCTTAGTTTTTGATAGAATCATCCATATGATAAAATTATATTTTCTGTTAGACTATACTCTTGCAAAATAATTTTTGTTTTCTACAAAGGTTATGAGATATCATAAAAACGTCTAATGCATCTGGTTTAAGAATCCAATTCTTCCTTCACATATTTCTGCATCTGTTCACAAAAATCGCTTTGACTTCAAAGGAAGCTTTTTAAGAGAAAAAGAAAATACATACAGGAAAAGTACCCATAAATTTCTAGTCCTTTTCTAAGGCCATTTTAATAATAGCACTGTGGGACAAGTATCTTTTTAGGTCTGTAGAGATCTAAAATATCACAGATGCTATTAACGACTATGCATTTATATGGAGATTTATGCTTTAACACTTTATTCTGGGTCTAAAAGTGATATATCTTCAATTTTGAACATGTGGAAAATACAGAAAGCTTAAAGAAGAAAATTTAAGTGACTTTTAATCCACTATTCAGGAAGACTAAAGCAAAACAAAAAAAGTTAAGGCTGGTTGTTTCCTTCCAGCCTTTTTTTGTGTGCATATATTTATATAAATATTTATTTACAAACAATATTATAATTACAGTATGAAAACAATTCTGTATCTTTTCTCAGTTGGTCTTTCAAAAGACTGTATTTGCCTTTTCATATTTAATGACTGAAAATTACATGTAGATTTATACTTTAAAAGAAATGCTCTCACTTATATTTAATTTCTATTCTACTCAAAGATAAATTAAAGTTTTGGAAACACTAATCTGTTCTGGAAATTCTACATTAGCAGAAACTGTCTAGATTAGCAGTTGATTAACCTTAAGATAACCATATTCATTAATTCCACTGAAACAACACCAGAGTTTTAAGATATTTTTTCTTAGCATTTATAATAATTTAGTGCCCTAAAATTCCCTGGGTAATCATTAGTGGGCTCTAGCTTATTTTCCTTTTCTCTTTGATTTTTCTATTTCTCATGACATCCTCACCTCTTAAGTTTGGAAAGAGAGGAAGTTTGGATCTAAGGTTTAGTTACTTTGGTACCACAGGTTTTAATATGCTATTAGCTAGCTATAAAATAGTAAACAGCCAATTCTGGTTCTGCAGAATCAAACCTTCAAACTTCAAAAAGAGGAGTAGTGAATGGATTTATCTAATTTCGAATCAACTCTTACCTAACATTGATGCCTGAAATTTAAAATAACATTTAAGTAGCTGTTTTGTTGACAAAGAGCTCTCTGGCAGTTCCTTTACCCTTAAATGAATCTTGTGAGGCCCATATCAATGAGGAAAACTTAAGTACAGAACATTAAGTCATTTATGAGATGACAGGAAAAACAAGATAAACTCAAATCTTGGTTTTCACAATTAATCTCATTGCTTTACTTTGGCTTCATAATCATGGAGCCATAGATTTTCGAAAGCTTGAAGGAACATTAATGGGTCAAGCAATCCCACCCCTCCTCCACCCATTTTGCTAAAGAAAATAAATCCGGTGGGATTGACTTGCCATGTCACACAGCTAGCAAGTGTCAGACAAATCTCTTGACCTTTGATTTCCTAATTTCAAGTCTAGTGCTCTTTCCAATATACCAGTTACCACACAAAATCCTCACACCTATGCATTTTGACCACGAATACGCAAGGATGCCAAGAAATCACCTAGTAATCACAGAATCTTAAGTTTCTTCTTAATTCCCTGAAGATATGTCCCAAGAGAAGTACAACAAAGTGCCTACCACCAAGATCGCACTTGGAAGACATTTAGTAAATGTCTGAATAAGTTAAGTAAATATCTAAATGACTGAAAGGTGGTATTTTTACCATGGGGGTAAAATTCTAAATACTGACGGGGTGGGTTGAAGCCGGGGTCCACGCTCTCAGCACGACACGGTAACGGTGACAGCAGTGCTGCCAGGCGCAGGACAGGACGACGCATTTTGGCAACTTGCTGCAATTCCCTCACAGAGGGAGGTCTATGCAGGTCTACCTTGGGGAATGAGGAACCAGAGTGTAAGACTCACTGACACTTGACACTGAAGTGCCGCCCTGCCAGAATGAGGATGTCAAGTGGCTGCTCGGGCTTAAATCGTCCAATTCCTCACAAGACCTCCTCTCTAATTTCTCCGCTGGCCCCTCAGAAAGGAGGGTGAAATAGTTATGGGACCACGAGAAGGCGGGCAGCCCGGGAAAGACCGGCCCTCTCTGATGGGATAACTTCACACCCGACTTGGCTTCCGGCGTTGCCTGGCAACAGCAGCGGAGTCCTGCTCTCAGGGAAAGAGGCAGACGCCAAGTGGGCAAGCGGAGGCGCGCTCCTCCCACCACGGCGCGTGACATCATCGCGCGTCCTTGCAACGTCGCCACGTTCCGAGTAGGGAGGCAGTCTTAGGAGACCTTAGGAGAGAAACGACTCGGTATTCTCTAGAGAAAACGGGAGGAGAGAAACCAGTGGAGGGAGGGGAGACGAGAAGGACCTAGCGGGATGCGAAGCTGGCGGGAGAAAGGCCAACTATGGTTACCTGGGGAGCCTGAGCAGCTTCGGGTCCTTTATGAAGTGCCCGGATGAAGCTCCAGCACCCACGCGCCTTCCGCATTGAGCGCATCGCCATCTTGAGAGAGGCGGAGCCGAATTGACTTGAGTGACGTCTGCCCAGAGAGCCAGTCCCTGAGTCGCAGCTGTTTTGCTTGCTGCGTAAGCGCCCCTGTCTTCCGGGCCTGTCTCTGTGCAGCTGCGTGCGGGAGTCCGGTCTTTGCAGAGCAGGTGGGGTCAGGAAAGAGGTGGGGTTTGGCTTTAGTGTTTCCCCTGGACACCTAGTCTTTGCGGAGGCTTCCGGGTGGGAGAATCTTCTTTCGGCGATATTGGTAGCAGCGTTTTAGACCGGAAGAAAGTCAAGTAAATTGTCTTTCGGATTCTAGCCATCCAGAGGCAGCTTTTAAGAAGTCTCTAGGAATGGGGCCTACCCAGCCCTGTTAGAGCGCAGTAAGTGGTCCTTTGAGACTTACGTGGCCTTATTAATTAATTCGATCTACAATCGATCTAGGTTTGTTAAACCCCACCATCTGCTAGGTGCTGAAGGTGCAAAGACACCTATCTTATACGGCCTAGTGCGTAGCAGGCAAATAAATGAGGCACTGTTTTAGGTGTTATAGAAGCAAACCCCAAGATTGGGGAAGAGTGCTGGTTAAGATTGTGGCGCTTAAGCCTGGTCCAAGGCAGGCTTCAGAAGGTGATACTTGATAGAAGAAATTGTTTGCATTTTGGGTTAAATTATGAGAAGAATTAACACTACTCCTGCTTCTGCTACTGCGCTCAGTAAGCTCCCAGACAGAAAAGAACCTATCAGTAAACGTATTACAGGAAGAGATTAGTCAGAATTCCTTTATGTGTTTTCTTGTGTTTATCCATTGAACAAACACTGAAAATTAACCACATTTCCACAGGGAGAGGTAGAGATACTCTTAAAGCAACTGAAATCCTAACAGGTTAAGACAGAGTTTGTGAATTAAAACCATACATTAAAATCTCTTAAGAGTGGTTTTTTTGTACTGGTGAAATTAACGCGCAATTGGTGTAATGTAGAAATAAACGGAAGGAAGTAGAAGGATGAAGGCCAAAAAAAAACCTGAGAAAATCAACTGTTACTCTTCAACAAATCAGTTGAGTTTGGTTTTGTCTTGTAAGTTTGAGGTGTGTGCTGTAGCTCCAAATGTGATGACCATTAAGTAGGTCTGGAGCCCAGGAGAGAGATCCAAATTACAAAACGCATGGTAATTGAAAGTAAGGAACTCTTTGAGACCACTAGGTAGAATCTGTGGAATAGAAATGGTCAGATGATGGAAATTAAAAGAAGTAGTCCAAAGATATTTTAAACCCCAAAAATGTGGTCTTTACTGAAACCCAGCTAAGAGGCCTTGCCAGTGGAAGTGATAATTGATCATTATAAAAATGCACAGTGTCCCTTGTAAACATGCCTAAATGTTTTGTACTCCCACTGAAGAAGGTATATCCGAGCACAAGTGGAACAACTTCAATATCTGTATTTTTTGAAGTACATTATTTTCAAAGTTAGAAGTAAGAAATTGTTTCCCATCACAGTGGTGACTTGATGACTGTTGAGCATCACTCAGCCAGCCAGGTTGCTCCTTGGATAAGGACTATTTTGTATTTCTTATGTTTCTCCCAGCACCTAATATAGTACTTTCCACAGAGCGAGCACATCTTTTAAATCTAAATTTTATTTTGACAAAGTATGTAACTGATTGTCAGAGTTGGTATGTTTTTAACATCCAGGAGAAAGCCCACCGAAAAGACGCTAGACTTATTTAAAGCAAGCTAGTTTGGTCTGCCTTTGTCTTTTTTTACAATGGCATTCTGAAACCTTTTGGCATTAGGAAAGTATGAAAAAGCTCACCATTGTGTAAACTCACCATCTTCTGCTCTTCTAAGAAGTGCATTACAATCAGCATATTTTAATGAGTATTTTTTTAAATGTTAATCCTGAATCTTCAGGAAAAATGTGTTATTCAGGGTATCTTTTAATGAAAAATTGTATAATACACTTTTGAAATGTTTGCATACAAAGTGATTAACATTTTAAAAGTTTGCATAATGCAGGAATAGTTTGGTTACATGAGAAGTTCACTTGTGGAATATTTCATTTCCAAGTGTTTTTATGTGAAGTATCACTGTATTTATTGGCAGTATTTCACCACTGCTATTATTTGGTAAGCCAACGAACTTTAGTAAAATGAGATATAAATATTGTACTTAAAGCAGACTTTAGAAACAATTTAAAAACCTGTATAGTACTATACTTATGGCATGCACTGTATGTTTACAGATGTTTGTGCTTACAATTTTGAAAACTTGTTTAAAATTTGATTTCTCATCAACACTTTTATTTTATAGTAAGTTCTGGTAATTTTGCTCTTTCCTTAACATTCCCTGCAAATCCCATCTTGCTTGAAACAATAGATTAAAACCAGACTGGCAGTTGGGGAACGCTTTCTATTGCAACCATGTGTGTCAGAAGAAAGGATTAGGTTTCCTTGTCCGAGAACATCAAGGGGAACCTCCACCTCTGCAGACACACCTTTATTCCTTGGTAATGGAGAGTTTATATCTAGTTAGATTTAAATGGGATAAGGAAAGAGTTTAAATCCACTCTTAGCTCTAGTAGTATAATCAGCCCTCAAGTCTCAAAGTATCTAATTTTGTTTCTCTAATTTAATTCTAAGTGTCAGGTTGGTATTAGATGCTGATCAAGGTAATGGAGAGTTGCCCTACACATTTATTCACTTAAGGAAGAATTTTGCAGACTGCAAAGACTAGATGGCATCTATGTTCAAAACTACTTAAAGCACAACCCATTCACCTCTGACCGTTCCTCTATATTGAATATGTTTTTCAAATATAGAGGAAGAGATTCCATAGTGGAGGTAGACCTTTCTCTTCATAATTTGGGATAGAGCCATGCTATGTTATGCTGGACTCAATTCTAAGGTCCTAAATCAAAGTGAGAGTCCACCTTTGAGTGAGATCACTTCTGAGTGTCATTAAACTATGCAGGAAACCATAATAATAACTGGGAGATTGTTTCTTTCTCCTCCCCCACCTTTGGCTTAATTCTGGTTCTGCCCCTCATTTCATAAAGCAGTGAAAGTCATCCAAAGATACTAAGTACTTTGACAAAAATCACAGAATGAATAAGAGCAGATTAGAAAGAATTATAATCTCCAGACAAAGGCTCTACATTAAGTGACACCACTATAAAGTGAAGTAGGTAAGGCTAGGGCTGATCCAAGGACAAGGTTTCACCTAAAGGGACATATTTGTGTCATGCTTCCAAGTCAAGGCAACTAAATGATTTTTAAAGGGTTGATGTACTCATCTCTCCACCCCTAACATTAAAAGGTGCTGTCTTTCCCTAGCAGTTTTTGGGGAAGTGCATATTATACCATCTTCTTTGTGTGAGAATAATAAGCAGGAGGCCTATCTGGTCTTTGGGAGAGGGGCTTAGGGGTTTAAGGGAGGCATTATTATCATTTTTTTCCTGGAAGCTGCCATCTAGCAAAATTAAAGGACAGGCTGCCTGTTGTGGTTAGCAAAACAGAATTTTTCTCAGAGCATCTTTTCCTTAAAATTAGGGGCCAAGGCCATAGTTTCTTCCAAATTCAACTTTTTACCTTAAGGACTGTCTTTCCCATCTTTCCCACGTCACAGTTGGGGGTGGGAGAAGGTGAGGATGGTGGAGAGAGAGCAGACGTAAGGGTATAATTTGCATGCGTTGCTCTTCAGAGAAATGACTCCATTACTTGTAGAGTCCTTAGCGTGGGGTACCAGGAAGAGGATTGATTATATGGGGATGGTGCAGGCCCAGGAACTCCTGTTCGTATTTAATCTTCCTCTCTATACTTTTTTTTTTTTTTTTTTACTGCTGTTTCAACATGAGAGTACAGGTCTTCAACGAAGACCGAGAATTGCTCCTGTAAGTATGGATCCAGAATGGGGGAAATAATTTTCTAGAAGTGTAGGAGACTACTTTCAGTATTTTCTAACCCCATCGTTCACCCTCAGTCTTAGGATACATGTTCCATGGAAGAAATGGAGCTTAGAAATTAGCAAATTAAAGTTTTGGAAGAACATTTTACTTGTCTCTCTTTGCATGCCGTATCTGTTCCAGAAGGTATGGCCCTGAAGACAAAATCTACATGTTACCTGCACACTCATTCTGTTTTTAAATCACCACCCTTTGCTTCCAGCTACTTCATAATGGGTGAACAGGCTTTCCACTTCTGAGTTTATGTTTTACAAAAAGAGCTAAGTCTCGACAAAGTTTCTTGGAGTGTCTTCCAAATAGGTTCCTTTCTATGTTGTCTATGTAATCAAACTCCCTTCCCACACTCTCTCTGTGGTGTGATGCTAGGAACAACCGGAAGTGAGACACAATGCTTAGATTTTGATCTTTCTTAAAAAACAACATGAAAATACTGATCTCTCTGAAACGAGAGAGTGTTAACCTCATTGTCTCAGTCAAATATCATCCTAACCAGTTAGATTCTGTTGGACTTTTCCAAAACTGACCGACAGTTGCAGTCATCTGTGATTTCTTCACTTTTTGTCCTTAATAAGTAGAAGTGAGCATGAACTCAGAGAAAATTTGTATGCTGGCCACATTACTGATCTCAGTGAACCATTTAACCTTCATGTGCCTCTTTTTTCATATCTGAAAGTGAGTAAAAATAGGAGGGCTACAAAGAAAATGAAAACACTAATTTGAAAAGATCATCTGTACCCCTATGTTTATTGTAGTATTATTTATAATAGCCAAGATATGGAAGCAACCTAAGTGTCACCCGATAGACAAGTGGATAAGGAAGATGTCACACACACATACACACAGACGCACAGGAATATTATGCAGCCATAAAAAAGGATGAGATTTTGCCATTTGAGATAGCATGGATGGACCTAAGAAGGTATTATGCTAAGTGAAATGAGTCAGACTGAGAAAGAAAAACACCATATGATTTCACTTGTGTAGAATCTAAATAAACAAATGAATAAACAAAAAGCAGAATCAGACCTATAAATACAGATAACAAACTGAT